TAAGGACGAAGTCAAAAAATTAGCATATCAGCGATCGGCACTACATACATATACACTGGTGTGCAAAAATTAAGGACGAAGTCAAAAAATTAGCATATCAGCTGAACGAAGAGGCAGAGCGGACAGAAAGACCAATCAGGAGATTAAGTAAGGTGATGTACGGTAGCACATGCGCAGATATGCAGGTAGACATAATGGGGGAGTGTCTGAGTAGTATAAAGCATGTTGTCGGTGTAAGATCAGTATTTCTGGCAAAGAGATTGCACGCCGTATAGCAGTTAAAATCACACCGAGTTGCTGCCTCAGCGAGAAATGGCGAATAATCAATCTGTTAGACGACATCTGGATGCTTTTACCCAAAGTCGAATCATTGGGAAGTTGGAGGAAGGCCGCAGTGTGACAAGTGTGGCTGCAGAGTTCGGAATTGCTCACAGCATCGTTTCACGACTTTGGAGACAATTTCAAACTACAGGAACAGCTATCCGGGGGTTTAGTAGTGGTTGTCCTCGAGGAATCACACCCGCAGATGACCGGTATATTGCCTTACAGGCCAGAAGAAACAGGCGGCAGACAGCGGGAGAAATCGCTAGACACACGACACAGGTGACTGGACGACTGATATCGCGTTTTACCATGGCCAGAAGACTGCACGGTGGTGGTCTGTTTGCATGACGCCCTGTATGGTGTGTACCTCTACCGCCTGCCCATCGGAGAAGGCGTTCTCTGTGGTGCCGGGAACACCGGAATTGGAGAGACAATGAATGGGGACAAGTACTCTTTACAGATGAGAGTAGATTCAGTCTGAGTAGCGATTCTCATCGCATACTCATCTGGAGAGAGCGGGGAAGCCACAATCATCCCTCGAACATCATTGAAAGGGACAGTATGGAGGTGGCGGTGTTTCTCGTTTGGGAAGGCATCATGCTTGGTAGTCGTACAGACCTTCACATCTTCGATGCAGGTTCAGTCAACGGGACCCGTTATTGTAACGAAATTCTTCTTCCATATGTGCGTCTTTTTAGAGACGCTATGGGTCCGCAGTTCCTTTTCATGGACGACAATGCACCATGTCATCGCACAGTAGCTGCCGAGCAGCTCTTAGAGAGTGAGGATATTGAACATATGGATTGGCCGGCACGATCTTCGGATCTCAATCCCATCGAGCATGTATGGGATTTTCGGGGCAGACGCTTGGCAGCTCGTACCTCACCACCAGTAATGATTCCGGAGCTTCGATTGGCGCTGCAAGACGAATGGGCAGCAATGCCTCAACAACTCATTGACACCCTCATTCACAGCATGGTTAGATGCTGTGAAACCTGCCTAGCAGTCAGGAGAGATCATATCCCCTATTAAAGACCGGATGTTTCTTGCTGGACACCCATCACAGGGATGTTTCGGCCTTCAATCACATTGCGCTCCATGCACTACTTTTCAATAAGCTTCTTTTTATCCCTATGATTTCTCTTTTAGTAATGTTGCTTACATTACTCATGTCCTTACATATTGGGGATCTTACGGTATTAAATATGTTGATTTGGAAAGCTTTTGTACAAAGTTATATTGAAAAAACCGTCTCGTCCTTAATTTTTGCACACCAGTGTATAATATACATATACAGTACAAAGTCTGAGTTCAGTACTTCAGTGATTCCGGATTTGGGATTTTTCTGGATATTAGATCATCAATTTAAATCTAATGAGATGGCATACAGAAATTATAACATTTAAAAATATGACATCATAATTTATGAAATAATAAGCATTTATGATCTAAAGGGTATCCAAATTTACAAAAAAAAAAAAAAAAAAAAAAGGCTTAATATTTATTTGTTTACTTTATTAAACATTTCTTTCAATGCAAGTTGTTTAATTTGCTTTACTTTTTATGATAATACTTTCTCTTTAATTCTATAAACAGACATAAATTTTTGTTCAGATACAAAGTTCCACTGTTTAAGTCCTGTAATTGCTATGTTAACAATTTTGACTGACTTGCCAATCGAAACTTTTTCGTTTTTGATAACCTCTTTTTCACTTTGTTCACTATCGGTAGTGGTATTTTCTGGATCTAGAACCATACTACAGATTTCACCGTCTGTTAATTGATTGATGATTGGCACATTGTCATCGTAATGAAAAACTTCTGTTATATCAACTTCATTTATTGCGGCTTCTCCACATTTCTTTACAAAATCCATTAACTGGAAAATTTCACCTTTAGTTTATCCGAAAACCTTCAAATTCGCGATCTTCATCAACCTCACCATGAAATATGGTAGATCGCCATAATTATGCCAAGCAATTTTAAAGTATCTGGAGACACATCCTCCCACGATCTTGCGATGCTTCATACAGCAGATGTTATGCTAAAATATTGAATAGTTTGGCCATTGTTCAAGAAATTTAACACAGATTTTAAAAATGCTACTTTATATTTGCATTTCAGCGTGTGCACCATTCCAATATCCATAGGCTGAATGACGGATGGACAATTTGGAGGAAAGAATAATATGGATACATTATCTTTCAATAAAGCTTTAAGTGAAGTATGAGCCAAACAGTTGCCTACAATCAGGACTATTTTTGAGTCATGATGTAAACTAACCAAATTCAAATGTTGCCGAGCCTCTGGTATAAAGTGATTTTCAAACCAATCATTCATCAACACTTATGTCATCCATGCTCTTTTATTTGCATGATATATAAAGGGGAAAATCGTTACTCCTTTAATTGCTGGAGGTCATGTATGTTTTCCAATTACGAAAAGTTTGCACTTGTGCTTTCCTGCAGCATTTGCACACATTAAAATTGTTAGTCTCACTTTGGAATGTTTGACACCAGTTGGAGCCTTTTCTTTAGATTGCCATTGTACTTCGTGGTACATAGTGCGAGAAAAGACCAGTTTCATCAGCATCGTAAATTAGTCCTGGAGATAATGATTCACTGTTAATGAGTTTGCTGAATTCATCTGCAAATAGTTCAGCAGCTTCAGTATAAGCTGAAGCTTTTTCACCTGAAAATTTTAATTGCATTTTACCCCGGAGATTTTAAAATTTGGTTAACCAATCTGTCAAATATCTTCACTCAGTATTTAAGTTCATTTCTTCATGAAATATTTTGGCTTGAGCCACTAGCATTGGACCTGCCAATGGCATACCTTCACTGCAACACTGACCCATTCAATCATCACTTTGTCATGATCGTCACTTTTAGCATAACGAACAATTCATTACGAGTGGGGTGTCGGAACCCTCAGAAAGTTCCTTTTTCTTATATCATATACAGTTGACTTTCCAGTGCCGTACTCCTTACATAATTTTGAGATGGATATGTCTTTGTCCATTTTTTTCAGCAATTCCACTTTTTGTTTAATGAACATCAAAACATGCTTTCGTTTTGTAGATCCTTTGGCAGCTCCAGATTCAAAAACTCTTTTCGACATAATCAAAAGCTTTAATTTTTATAAAATTACTGTAATAATAACAGTCTGTGAAAAATAATAAGCTAGATCAAATTAGAAGTTTAAGGAGCAGCACAGTCTGCTACATTAACTGAAATTCCTTAAAATCAGTAAAGATAATTTTAGGCTAGCTCAAGAGTGTCCACTATATATTACTGGCAGCTAGTGCCAGAAAAGACCGTTTATTAAAAGATAATGTATCCATATCATAAGATTGGCGATGAAAGACAAGTTGTCCCGCTAAATTTAATCTCGCTTTGATCTTGTAATGAATTAAGCCTCCATTGTATTAGTGTGGTTATTTATTATACTTACGTATATTTCTTGCACATGCTTAAGACTAATCTGAGTTCTCCATCTGTGCAATTGTCTTGTCATCGAAAGCCAAATGTTGGAAAATATTAAATAATGATAGCTTCTACTAAGTCAGTTGCATGTGAAGTTGTAGTAAAGTAACTTTCTGTTTAATAACAAAACATAATTTTATTTTCAATATTTGCAAGTTCTGTTTTAATACCACTGTTTTGTGAGTTAAACACTGTTCCAGTCTGCACTAGCTAAATACTGACAAGAAAGGAGGTGTGGCTTATCAATAGCCAGCACTTAATGAGTGGATTAGAAATCATAATTTTTGCTTTCTTTTCAGGAGTTAAATTTCTGTCCCACCCACAGTGTTTTAGATAATTTTCACCATTGCACATTTGAATGCTATATGTAATTAATATGGTAGTGTCTTTTGTCTTTTGTCTTCTTAGAAAATATCTTAATTTAGATTAATTAACCCACTGAAGTGCTGTGTTCGCTGCATTGCTAAGACTGTCAGGACTGCTATTCCTTCTAATTGTCTTGGAGAACATTTAGTAATCCTGACTGGGATTATTAAATGTTCCCCAAGACAATTAGAAGGAATAGCAATCCTGACTGGGATGCTCATGTGTGCATAGGAGAAACAACAGAAATAAGAAGGGTTAACTTTACCCTTTATTTCTCACAGCGTACAGCTGCTCCCACACTTCGGGATACAGAGACCAGCACTTTTGATCTAAAACGTAGAAAATAAGAAATAAACGTAACTAAGTAAGAACTAAACTTAAATGCTTTACATAGACTGTTAATGTAAAGAATGGCCTTTTGACACTATGTATGTAGTAAGCAAAATGCAAATAACATCTTAGTATATCAGCAGGAAGCAAATTCTGGCCTTAAAGGCAGACATGAACAGACTAAAAGCACATGTGTGTTAAGGCAGCAAGAAGTCTCTCTTCTCTTGGTTAAAAGCCACTTCTTAAATACCTTTACAGTTTGCAACTCATTAAAATAAGATTCTTACTCACACTTATTCAGGCCCGAAATGGAAAATCGGAAAGAATAGCGAAATTTTAAAATAAACATTAGTAAAACTTGAAATCCTTTCAAGACTATACATTATTCTGAAATTAAACTTGTTCTGCTGACAGTTTTTCTTCTGAAATGCTATTGTGATGGATTTCAGGCTTTCATTTGAATTTAAAAAAATATTTTTTTTTTTTGGTCTTCAGGTGATATAACTGCTGGCAACATAGAACCATCTATCAAATGTGTAGAAAACCATAGTAATTTGGAGAAGTTGGTGAGTAACATATTTTAAACTATGTTAATTTTAAGAATTGTGCATTAAATCGAAACTCAAAATATTATATGTGCAATTATCTAATAACATATTGGTCTATATTTTGCCTTCATAATGATAGTTAAATATTATGTAAAGTATTCATTGTGGTGTTAAAAACCGAAGGGTTACTATAGCTATATTAAAATTTTATCCATTGCTTGTGAGAATAAATGGATTTTGATAAATCTTTAATTTCTCCTTTTGTTTCTGTGTGGAGTTAAGATAAGGGATTAAGGGAAATAGTTAAGAGCAGTAAATTCATACAAATAATTTTGTAGTGAGGTTATACTACTCACAAAGTCTTATCCAGCATTACTATGCTGAAAAATAACTTTACAACAAGGAAAAAACATGATGATGAGGCCAACGAGAGAATTTATATAATGTTTCTTAGATTAATCTTTGTTAATTATGGGAGACCATAAATATTTCGTACAAGTAATATATTTTATTTACCCAGCATTTACCTATTTTCCTGCTTGGTAAGACAATTTCATTGCTTTGTGTGTGTGCTTCCATTCTTCTGCAAGATGATACCAGTTGAAAACTTGTCTAGAAAGACTAGATGAGCTGTGATAATAATAGATGCATGTTGAATGGTATTGTCTGATTGAAAAAGTGAATAAAGGTCCTAAAACAATTGTTTGACACTGCTTGATATATTTTACTTGTTTTTCCAAGCTAGTCATCTTTTCTAGTCATTGCTGTATGCTGACCTTGGTTTAGTAAGCAACAAATATTTTCCATATCCTCCTTTACACTTTAGAGCATTATAATTTTCTGGTTACCTCACTCTGGGAGATTTACTTTCATTTGTTAACTGCTGGATGGAAGTAAACTACTTTCCGCTTATTAAAATCACTTCCATTCCGAGTATATTTGAGTTTATTGGAGAAGACTGATATTTTAAACCTGCTACCTTGCGGCAAAAGCAGGGATTATTAGAACCATTCAAAAACTTTTTATGAAACCACCATACCATACTCATACTCTAAGGGAAGATTTGCCGACCTCACCAGCAAATATCTTTATTTAAACAAACATTTTACAAAACAAAACAAAATTACATCAATTACAATCTATTTTGATTACAAATAATACAATAGAAAGAATTCATACAATGCAATCCAACTTGAATTTACTTAAATTAATATTTATAAAATATACACAATAAAGTAATTTACAATAGATCACTTGTACTCTTATAACTTTTTTAACATAACATTTTCAGACTCAGTAATAATTTTCATAATTTCTATTATTCCTTTTTTAAATTTTTCAATTTGAAAAATTTTTACAGTATCATTTTCTGTATTCAAACATGGTAAGAACTTTAACTACTTATTTTTTAACAACTCACATAAAATTACATGCTCAACATCAGCTTCTTGTTCACCACATAGACACTTCAAATGTTTAATATTAAATCTACTATAATGTAATGGTACATGTGCATGGGCCAAAAACCCATTACCAATACACCTCTTTTTATTAATTTTTCTAAAGAATCTATAAGCGTACCTTCCTTTTGAATCTTTGTCCCAGAAATCCTGCCATATATCAATTATTCTGTTCTTTAATGCATTTTTAAAAGTTTCAATAGAGGTAGGAAGAAATCATCAATCGAACTCTTCAACGTAGCTTGTTTAGCACAAGTGTCAGCTAATTCATTTCCTTCGTGTCCAATATGACCTTTAATCCAATGAAGATTGATATTTCTTTTCTTCAAATTTTCAATCAAAAGTAAATGAGCATCAAAAACCAATTTAGTAAAAGATTTTCCAGAAACAATGGCAAGTAATGCACTTTGACTATCCGAAAATAAATCAACATCTTTTGTATCTTTCCCCAGTATCCATTCCAGAGATTTAAGAATGGCGAAGACTTCTGCCTGAAACACTGTTGAATTATCACTTAATCTAAACTTTTTAATAAATCCATTTAAATAAGCTACAAAAGAGCAACCCACTCTTTCATCTATCTTTGAACCATCAGTAAAAATTTCGTGTCCTTCATGAGTAGGGAACTTCTTATCCCAAAAATAATCAGTTAGTAATGCAGGATGAACTTTATTAACTATTTTATAGATCTCAATATTTGAAATATCCACTTGTAAATCAAAAACCTTATCAGATCTTCTGCCATACTTTAAAACAAATAAAATACAGTCTCTTTGAGCAATCAAATAGATTGGCTCACAACCACTTAAAGTAAACAAGCAAGCATTAGAAACTGTTCTGAAACACTTAGTAATACTTAACATCACAAGCATTTGAATTTGAATTAACAGATTGTTAACTCTAACATTATTTTTTATACCATGCTGCATACGAATATAAAATCTTTCCTTTCAATCCCTCTCTTATAAAATATTTTCTTTATATCGCTATTAAAGACCTTTTATTGCATATAATTTATTCAAAATAACTAGAAGCACTGTTATCTTGATCTTTTTTCAAATGAGGAATGAAAGTAAGTTGATCATCAATTAATAATGCCTAAGATAATTTAATTCTCGAACACTCTTTAAAGAATATCCTTCAATATGTCCTCTTCGGAAGAGTAACCATTTTACCTCTTTTAGCTATACCCATGATCGCACATTTCTTATAATCAAATTTCAATTTAACTTGTTTTGACCAAGTTACTAATCAAATCCAAGTATATGATCAATGTCAGCATCAATAGTATGTCTTCCACTTGCAGACACAATAATAATTATATCATCCGCATAAGCTTGTACTTTCACATTTTCCTTAAACAGCAATTCAAACATTGAATCACATAAAATATTCCATAATAAAGGTTCTGAATTAGAACGTTGAGGACAACCTCTGCCATAAAATCTTTTAATGCATAGATTACCATCTTGAAAAGAAACAGAACACTCGTAAAGATAATATTCAAATAACTTAAAAAGATTAAAAGGACAATTAAACCTTTTTAATTGAAACAAAACAAAAGGCCACCATACACTATTGAATGCACTCTTGACATCCAACATAACAAGTGCTGTATGAGTTTATTAGAGAAGTCAAACAAAACAAGAATCAGCATAATATTTGTAAATTTTGCAGAACTAGTTTTCGATGGGTTAACCTTCCAACACACGCGCTGGGCAGTTTTACATGAGCGTGCACGCGTCATATTTTTTACAACATCCGTTATTTTACCGTTTTTGGCACGAAAAACGACATAAATGAGTGAATATTGATAATAAATTTGTTAAGAAATAAAATATTAATCATTATTGAAAAATACAAATGATATCACATTCAAATATAAGTAAATTATTTTTAACTTCTTATGTTATTGAGACTGAAATGCAATGATGTATTTCATTATAGAAAATTTAAAATTTATATTTAATAATTTTTATATTTTAAAATCGAAGCTAATTTTAATATTCATCAAAGGCAAATATAGACAAATGAAAAAGGAAAATACCTTGGTAGGAAAAAAAGTAATGTTTAGCATTACTTACTTCCTGCAAGGAAATTTACTTCTTACTGGTTACAAAAAGCGCACTTTAAACTAATTTTAATAGTTTTTATTTGTATTCTAAAAAAGTAAGAAAGAAAAGAAAATAAGGAATGGAAATCACTATTGTTCTCCCTATCCAAAGGATTCCTTGTCTTCCTTTTCTTCATCAGATAATTCTTGAAGAATGCGAGCAAAATCAGCTGGTTGCGCATATTTTTGTGCCATGAAAACCGATATAAAATTTATAGGGCCAAATGTATTCAAATTAAATAATACACGGCAATTAATAACACAAAATTACAAAATATCGGAGAAAAAATATATTCCGAATTTTCACCCACGAGCACGCGCGGGTCATAATCTTTACGAAAATGCTGCCAAGTAGCACAAAAGCCCAGTAAAAAAGAAAAAAAGTCAAGTAACTTCCTATTGGCACATTCCATGATATGGGGAAGGGTAGAAACGAGGAATAGAATTGACCTTCAGACGTCTCAGCTTCGATATGCGAAAAATGTACATTAAAAACGGATTTTGTCATAGATTTTGCCCATACGCCTTTGCTGGAAGGCTAACAGAACCATCTCCATCAGCTGCCTAAGTGCAAAAAAAAATATTCTAACCTATAGAGTTTATTAAGTTGCTGAGTTTAATAAATGTTGATTATGATAATGATATTAGTTTTAAACGTTTCAAGTAAAATAATAACTAGCAGTTAATTTATTAATTAATCCTAAAGTAGTAATAAAAAATCAATACTAAAATGAAACTATTTTTGTAATTTTTATATTTGTTTTAAAATTTTTTATAAATAAAAATTAATACTAAAATAAAGTTACAAAAATTAATACTAAAATTAAAGTAAATTAATACTAAAATGAAACTATTTTTGCAATTTTATATCTGTTTTAAAATTTTTTATAAAAATATTTTGATATGTCTAAAGAAAAATAATACTAAAGAAAAATAATGTCTAAAGAATAAAGAAATGTCTTCAAGAATCTGATACAATGCGTTTAGGGGAAATGGCACCTGCTACTGCATACCTTAACACTTTGACGTGCGCGATATTATTTTTATAATTTTTTTAACTAGAAACTGTAGAAATTGAATATTATGATCCTAGAGACAAATAATATATGAATTAAAAAAAAATCTACTCTTGCCCATTGTTCTGTGGGTTACCATTTTCCGCGCACGTTTCCAATAAATGATGAAATTTACGGATTTTAAAAAAATGTATGTAAGAATTGCAATATATATATATTTTACATTATTTTACAAAGTAAATCGTGAGAAAAAATTAAAAAATAAACATTTATGTAATTTTTCTATAGCAGTGAAAATATAAGTACCTACATAATAAGGACATTTGGATAAATGGATTAAAAAACTCAATAAAATAAAGATAAAAAAGAACTCAGTGATTTTTTTTTTTTAATTTCAAAGAACAAATTTTTTTTTTGCGACACTGTTCAA